TTTCCAACATTTAGAAATAATATTGTAACCCATTTGTTCCATGACATTAAAGGATGCTAGTTTTTATTAATGAGATCCAAAAGCAAGAAAGTGTTCCTGGCTGGGCACAGTGACACAAGCCTATAATCCCAGCAGCTCAGGAGGCTGAGGCAGGAGGATCACAAGTTCAAAGTCAGTCTCAACAATAGCGAGGTACTAAGCAACTCAGTGAGACCCTGTCTCTAAATAAAATATAAAATAGGGTTGGGATGTGGCTTAGTGGTCAAGTGTCCCTGAGTTCAATCCCCGGTACCAAAAAAAAAAAAAAAGAAAAGAAAAGAAAGTGTTTCTCAGCATGTCCAGGCCAAAGTAAGAGCAATCTTGCCACTAGGGCCATGCTATCTAGCATACTTCTGGTACACAGGAATCTGTATAGGAAAAAACACCACTTGAGGTTTCTGGTAAAACCTAATAGAAGAAACATAGCATAAATTCTGGAACAAGGCCATGCCATCTATAGTAGAGCAATACCCAACATACAAAACATAACTCCTGGCACGTTACTGAACCCTGGTAAAGATGGAACATCTGACCATAGACTATCAAAAGATCATGTTGCCAAAACTACCTAATATGAGCTGGGTACCGTCAAACCTACCAAGTCATAATGCACATTACATCTGGGGTCAAACACAAGCAGGGCAATAGAGCATCATAAAGCCTATGTCAGAGGGTATAGACTCCCAGGTGACCTTTAACTCTTGCACCAATGACTCTGTACCAATGACTCTCCATCAGTTCACACCTTTGAACAAATGACGAAGTGAAAAGAAAAAAAAACTGAGTGTGATTCACAGATGGTCAGTTTGTTAAGTCAGAACCAGTTAAAATGGACTGCTGCTGCATGAAAACCCCACTCAGGGGTAGCCTTTAAAGAAAGCCATAAAGAGACATCTTTCCAACAGGCAGAGTTTTGAGCAGTCACCTGACCATCTATTTTGTATGGAAAGGGAAACATTACAAGATAATTATAGGTGTGGATTCGTAGGCAGTGGTGATGGCTTAGCTGGCACGACAGAGTCTATAAAGGGCAATATTGGAAGACTGAGAAGGAGTTCTGGGGAAGAAACATGTGGATCAACCAGTAAGAATGGACATAAAGTGTGAGATCTTTAGGTTGCACAGCAACATAGGCCACACAGTGTCCACTTGAAAGAGGTACTACACGATACAGGGTGACTTGGACAGGCTGACTTGGCCAGTTGAGGTTAGCCAATTCTGTCCTTAACCACCCAGTGTCGACAGTAGTAGACTCAGCAATGAAGTAACCATGGTGTCAGAGATGAAGGCTATACACAGTTACTTAACCTTCCCAATCAGACATGGGTGTGGGGAGTTTCAATAAGAGTGAGGAAACATGAGTACAAAGTGGAGTGAAGCAGGAAAAGACTGTCAAAGATGAAGTCAGAGACTTCTCAAAGTCCTACAGACCAGATAAAAGGACACTGGCTTGAGAGTGAAGTGGGAAACCATGGGGGAGGTTTTAACACACAACTGCTGAATGCGGAGGGCCAACACAATGTGGGGACTAGCTCCATCTCTTTAAAGGGAAGACGATCATACTTTAAAGAGATCAGACTCCATCTTGGCCTTCCTTGAGGAAAGGCTTCAATTGTAATATTTCTTCAATTAGAAGAAAAGCCCACCAGGTTTAGCAGTGGCTGCTATAATGCAGTCCAAGTAACTCCCTGAACCTAAACAAGTAACTTAATCTCAAAATGGAAAGAGGAAAGACACTTGATTAGAGAGGTAGTATGATGGAAATGAAGAATACAGGCATAGATATTTGCAGCAATGTGGATGGAACTGGAAGGCATTATAAATAAACGAACCAGGCACCAAAAGACAAATGCTACATGATATCACTCATATGCAGAAGCTTAAAATTGATTTCACAGAAGTACAGGGGAGAACAATAGTCACTAGAAGCTAGGAAGGAAAGGGAAAGGGGAAATAGTTGGATAATCAGTACTAAAATACATTAGATAGGAGGAATTAGTTCTAGTATTCTACAGCATAGTAGGGGGTCACAGTTTACAACAACTTAGTACATATTTATAAAGAACTAGAGGTGAGAGGGCTGGGGTTATGGCTCAGTGGTACAGTGCTTGCCTAGCACGTGTGAGGCACTGGGTTTGATCCTCAGCACCATACAAAAATAAATAAATAAAATGAAGGTATTGTGTCCATCTACAACAACAACAACACCACACACACACACACACACAATATATATATATATATATTTATATATATGTATGTATGTATGTTTTTAAGAGCTAGAAGAGAGGAATTCAAAGACTCCAATACAAAGACATTATAAATGTTTAAGGAGATGGAAATGCTAATTGCCCTGATTTCATCATTTAACATTGTATGAAATTATCACTCTATTCCATAAATATATGCAATTATTATTTGTCAGTGAAAAATAAACTAAAAAAAATATGGGCATAGAACATCTGGTTTGAAACCCAGCTCTGCAGTTTACAAGCCCCGTGACCTTGCACAAGTTACTTAACCTCTCTGTATCTTGGTTTCCTCATCTATAAAATTATAATAGTCCTATCTTCGTGGGGTTTTTAACAGAATTAAATGGATTACAGTGTCTGTATCATGCTATGTTTTTGCCATTATTATTTTTCACACATAAGCAATCAAAATTTATCCATATTGTCATTGAAGTTGAACAAATCTGCAAGTCCATTTATGGGCATTCATTTCCAGGTTCAATGCCTTCTGTGTCATCTATGTATTCTAATACTACACTTTGGAATATTATCCTATACTTCTGAACTATTACTGGGCCTTTAGCTGATTGCTTGTTCAATTGCTTCTTATCAATGACTTTTCTTCAGGAAAGCTAACAATGCCTGACTGTGATCACCCCATACAAATCAGGAAACAGTTCTTTGTGGGTTTTTTTKTTGTTGTTGCTGATGTTGTTGTTGKTGGTGGTGGTGGTGATTTGTTTGTTTTGAACATTGGATTCTGTCAACTGGTCTTATGTGAAAATCAAAGAGGTAAAGTGGAAAATCCCACTTGGCAGGGCACTTTGCATGTAATTATCTTAAAGACTTAAAATTCACACCAAATGCAGGGTACAGCGAATGGTGGTGKTCTGCTAAAATACCACTAGAACTGAGGATCAACTTGGATGGCTGGTCAAGTAATGTCTATTTTTCCTTCCTCAGCTGATAATTTCTACCTAGAGATTACTAAAAGAAAAGATTCTGGTTCAGCTTTGTTTTTCTCTAAAGTCATTCCATAATTACTACAGCAACGACAATATCTAGCCTTCATTTAGTGTTCAGTGCCTTCTCTGCCTCAGCATTTTGCTAGTCACTTCTTTTATTGTCCTGTGATGCAATTCAGAGGAAACTGCTCAAAGAACCTAGACACATAGCTCGATTTTGGGCTGAGGTCACACAACTTGGAAATTACTAATTTTGTTATATCCCCTAAGCAAATCTATTTGGTAAACAGACATCTTTGTGTAAATTATCTAATCAAACATAGTAAAACCAGTGCTTAGGTAAATCTTCTATTTTAAAAAGTAATTAAACTTCAAAAAAGCAATTAAACTGCAGTTTCAAAAGAAAATTACTAAATTTTTTTGTTTTAGGGGTTTGTCTGGCAAATCATGGTTTTTATTCCTGACTCTGCCAGATTCCTTTGTCATTGTTTGAATAAGCCAATTAAGCCATTGTGCCTTCTTTTTGCATTTCTAATCAAGTGAAAGCCACACAATAAGATGTTACCTGGGGAGTGTTCAACAGAAGGATAAAGCACTCTTTTAAAAAATGTTATTATAATCATCTTCTATATTTGATTGGTTTGTGGTACAGTCACTGAGSGAGGTTTTCACCTCTATGTGATAATGCTGCGTAGCTGATCAAAGTCTTTTTGTTTTTAATTACTAAAGTCTAATGAACCCAACGTCATTCTCTTCTTACCAAAGCTCATCAAGAGTGATACAGTGAAATATTTAACTCCAACAGGAGCATGTATGTTATAAAACACAAAACATACAATCTCAGAAATAGGTTGCTGAGAAATAATCCTTTTTAAATGTAAAAGTTTTTAAATTTAAGAGAGAACATAGAAAAGTTAAAAGGAAATGCCCAGTGACATTTTCCTTCACCAGGATTAGAAATAATTACTCAAACACATAAAAAGCTTATAAAGGGTACTTCTCACATATACTTATATCAGAGAGATGAAGGAGTCATTCTACTTTACACATAAGGACTACTGAYTAATTCATCTATAAAACCTGAGATGACATTTACTACATCTATAAAATTTAACAAATTAAAATGTCATATCAATTCACCCACTTATGGAAAATGCTCMTGCCAATAATAATATATTTTCCTTTAAAAATATTTACTTTGGGTGTGGACTAAAATCTCGTTCAATTATATGATAGTACTGAACATTTCCCACTGCTACATGTAAGATCTTCTGCTTTAATGAATATTAATCTTTTAAGTGACCTTCTTCAAACTACTGTGTAACTGTCTTTCTCTTTGAAAACTATACAATCAGGAACCACTTTACATATTTTCTATAACAAGCTAACAAAATTACAAATATTTAATTTTCATGTATAGTGGAAAACAATGTATTTCAGCTCAAAGCATAATTTACAATTGTTATTACCACTGAATTAACATGAAATATTGTCTCCCTGATTCAATGCCAAACATACCATATGTAACATTACCATTACCAGTAAGTGCTAATCCTGCTGGATAAACAATTCTTGTCTTGATATTTCCTAATTCAACCCAATACTTTTCATGCATCTCTCACACTCCCTTTCTGCCACAGAATATTGATTCTAGAAGAGGGGTCCAGAAGCCATCAAATCTGACCCACCTCCTCCTCATTAAAATGTGGTTTACTCAGTGTGATGCTACTCAGAAATAAACCTAAAGTTTACATTCAAACTTTACCTTTGTAAAATCCCCAGCGAATCTCCCACAGCATTCTTCACTCCTTCCTTTCCAGGTTTCAAAATTTTTTCTTTGAAGGTATCAAATACTTTAAAAGGCATTTTGAATTGGGGGGCACCTATGAGCCGTTAATAGTCAGTYTCAGAAATTGTCATCCTTTCTCATTTCTAGCGTACGGAGCACTAGTTTCACTTGATGAACACCTGGAAGTCAGTTCTCATAGAGGGAACTACTTAAAATCAAAAAGAAGATGAAACCCAACCCAGATTCTCCGAGCAGAGACAACCCTCTCCTCTCCCTCCACAACTTAAAAAAAAAAAAAAGGAGGCCCAGGGGTTTCTAGCTGGGAATTCAGCCCCTTGCAAAAGCTACAAGCTCAGCAGCAGCCTGTGGCCGCTGTCTCAGGCAGCCACTCAAACTGAGCGCAGCCTCTCTCCCTCCCTGGCTGCAGCTGGAGAAGCTAACGTGGGCTCCAGCCTACAAGGGGTCCCCAGACGGGCAGCAGCATCTGTGGTTGGGCTCCGGCCCCTCCTGCTTCTCTCCAGCTTGGCTGTGGCTCTCTCCGAGTGATCCTTCCCCAGGTAATGCTATAGTAACCAGCACGACACCTGCCCCTCCGCCACCCGGGCTTATTAATGGGCTCTCAGCCAGAGCAGGCACCCACAGTGAAGTTTATGAAACATTTAAAAGTCCTCTGCTTTTCTGAAGTCTGGCATTGCAGACAGGCTCCCAGCCACCACTTCATGACTTTTATTCTCCTTGTGGGAGCTATGAAACTGTTCTCAGCCGGGCACTAGCATGGATGTGGTCCCTGGAGGAGCACTGGCACTTGAGTAGGGTGAATGCAAACCCCAAGCCACAACCATCTAGGGGACATTTATTTGCTCCTCAACAGAGCAGATTCTCTCAAGGTGTGGCACAAAGATGCCATTAGACCATGTGATTGAGAGATCTGAGATCTGCTTAGAATTAAGCATTGGCTCCTCATTGTCCTCCTTATAAATAAACCCTTCTCATAGCACCTAAGGCCCCTCCATGGAACCCTAAGCCTTTTTTCTTGTCCCTCTGCTCTCAGTAGCACAACTTCATTGAACTTAGCAAGTTCCCTGTTGCCCGTCAGGTTTCTTAAGCTATACCCCTGCCTTGGTGAACCCTCTTCCCCCTCCCCCTGGGTAGCCTCTAGAGATTTTCAAGTCTCACAGAAATATAGCTTCCTCTTCAAAGYCTCATAGACAAGGTGAGGTGTCCCTCCCCTGCACCTGCAAATCTCCTGTCCTTGGCTCTGGCAAGACCTGGCTGGTAACCTATATAAATAGCTACTGGACTGGAGTTGAAATATCAGGTTGCTCCCACATATATGGGCTGTAGAGTGAAGGCTCCATCAATGATCCTGCCAGGAAGAAACAGCCTTTTATCTAAGAAGCTCCAATGCTCCACCCCCGCCCCAATGAGAATCATGTGCTGTG